GCCCAGCTCGGCCCGTTACAAGTATGGTGCAAGCACTTTTTGGTTCCTGAGATGATGTGAACTAAAGGGTTTTCTGAAAGTCTGAAAATTGAAAAAAAGCGAAACCTCAATAAATCAAATTTCAGAATCCTAGAATTTCAGAAACGTCATTTGATAGCTTTGATATCTGAAACTCCTCGTAAATCTAGAATACCAAAACTTCGAAAAAGTTTCGAATCTAAGAAAATCGAATTTCAGAATCTTAGAATCTCAGAAACGTCACTTGACAGCTTTCATATCTGAAACTCCTCTTAAATCAGAATCTCAGAATCTCAGAATCTCAGAATCTCAGAACTTCGAAAATTTAAAATTTCAAACAAATTCAAACCATTTTCATATTTTTGAAAACTTGGGACATATTCAATCCAAAATTTGAATTTTGACAGTTTTTATTTTATTTTTTGATGATAAGGTTCAAAACTTCGAACCTCTCAGTTCTGCTTCCAGAGTAATTAGAAAACATGTGGTTTTCATAAAATGAGAAATTCTTGAATAAACGATTATTAACTAGCCAGTTGCAGATGAGCATGCGCCTTTGACGAAGCCCGCAACTTTAATTGTCCTCATTAAATGTCCCCACGAACTTTTTGTGTATTTCTTTATGCTTAGTTCCTGCTATACTCACCATGACAGTTTATGACGGCTCAGAATGAAGTAGAATAATCTTTTAAGAATATAGAACTTTCGGAAATTCAGGGATGAGATGTCGGGGGGAGGTGTAAGTTAGGACACGGAACAAGCGGCAGATAGATTCGGGTTAACAAGGCGCGAGAAGACGAAACACGATCCGGGGCGCTATATCTAATGAGCACTATGAGTATGGAAACTCTTGTTCCCTATATACATTCATATGTGTCGTTTGCATGTCTGTCTTTTCTGAAGAGACCGCTGGTCTCCGCCCACTTCACGTCGTCGACCTCTAGCCAATTTTCGGAAGGCGAGGAAAAGTAGAAGAAGAAGGAGAAGAGGAGGAGAATCCAAATCCGGGCGGCGCCGGAAGGTCCTGCTTTCTTCTTGCTCCTCCCTTACTTCCACTGCATCAACAGGCTATGTACACGCAACAAGACGATGTTGTCTCCCAAAAAAAAAATTTCCATAATTCTCAATAAGAGGCGTACCCGCACGGGTTTCTTAAAGATGAAAATGTGTTGGTACGACAGATTGGGAACTGGAAAGAAGACAACAACAACAAAACATACCTTACCCACAAAGCGCGCCTCATAAGAACTGATGGGTGGTCTGCTCCATGGAAAATTTCGAATTTTTCTCGGGATGGTGATGGGATTCGGGAATAAACCACCAAGTTCTGAAATACTCCAAGAAAATAAGTCAAAATAATTTCAAATCTGAATTGCAAAGATTACAGTGGTATAAAATTCGCTGAAAAAAAAACGTTGGAAAAAACGTGTGTAAGGGTAGAAAAATTGGATTAAAGTACAGAAACTCCAAAAACGATCTAGCTCGAAAACACATTTTTGAAATGCTAAGAATTAAGCTGAAATCAGAACAATAAAAATTTCAAGGATTACAGTAGGATGAAATTTACTGAAGATACTGTTAAATGGTGAGGATAGGCATAGTTTTAAAAAATGATGGTTTAGAGGTTACTTCGTCAGTTTCATATGAGTTACTTTCAGAATAATTTGATATTCAATTATTTGCAGTTCGAATTCAATATCGACAAGGAAAAACTTTGTTGAACGGCTAACATTTGGAAATTAAGATAAGCTTCAATTTGATAAATTCTACCATCTAAAGTACGAACCAGCATTTGGAATTTTATTAACAAAAAATGTCTACCAAAATTCAATTTTTGCAGGAAATTAAAAACCATCATATGTGAAAAGAAAGAGAGTCGACCGAAAACCGCTGACAGCCTCAAGACCGCCACTTCTGACGCGGAAGAGAGATCATTAAAATTGTGGATCGCGCCCCCCGAGTCAAAGAATAAGTGGTGAATGAAAAGAATGAGATCCTAGATTTATGAGTAGCCATATTTCATTTCATTTTTTCACGTTTACCATCGGTACGTGGCTTAGAATCGATGAGGAGGGGCTGTAGTGTATGAGAAGAGACTTCAGAAGAGGCATCAGCCATGAAAATAAGAAAAAAGAGCTGGGTGGCTAGCAGAATGAATGAGGGGAACGGCACTTCTATCTAGTACTGAATTTTAAAGTTGGAAGACGACTACGAAGAATAATGCGATGGATGGGGGTGGAAGAAAACAAGTGATGATGGAATGAAAACTGGGAGCAAAAAACAGAAGAACAAGACGGTTGGTTAGAAATTCGTAAGAAAAAAGAGGATCTGAATAAATTCCAAAAAATCTAAAAACACCGGCATTGCTCATTTTTATTCCATCGACAGGCAAAAGCAAAGGAATTGAAATTCCATTCAGTTCATGCTTGCTCAATTATTTACTCTTTATTTTTTCTCCACGTCATGGATTGCGCTACGGGTCTGCAAGGGAAGTTTTTTTTATGAGGGCTGGTTTGGTTGAACTTTTGAAATGAGAACTTCAATTTGGCTTGGAACTTGCAAAAAATGCAATATTCGAAAACAGGACATGATGCTTTTGCTTTTGCTATTGCTTTTTGGCAACTTTGATCATTTTATAGAATCTGTCTGTTGAAGTTTCAATTTCCCTGAAAATTTTGGAGAGTATAAAACAGAACTAGAATGACAACTTTGCATTCACAGAATTTTTTGAAATTTTCTAGTTTTTCAGATATTTGCCGATTCCTGAAAGACACTTTTTTTGAGCCCACTTTTGTACTGAAAACGTGAAAAACAGGCGATCTTCAAAAGTTGGCAAATATCTGAAAAACTAGGAACTCTCAAAAAATTCTAAAAATGCAAAATTTTTAATCTAGGTTTGTTTTACATTTTCCAAAATTTTCGAAGTGCTTGGAAACTTGAAAGCTAAGCTTTAGACTCCGGAAAATGATAAAAACAGCCTACATTCTACTGTAAATTTTCACTGGTACTGTAGACGCATACCGTGACTCTGAAAAATACTGAAAAAAATTGAGAAAAAAAAACATTTTGGAAGTCTGAAAACGTTTCGGAAATGCTTTTAAAATTCTAATTAAGATTAAAAAATTAGCTGTTATTTAGAAATTTTTCAAAAGTTTTGGATTCGATCTTTATGTTATAATAAAGGTCAAACTAGGCTTTAAAAATATTGCAGCCCGATGTCATCCAAGTCTTTTCCGCCTCTAGTTTGGCGATTATGCACCCAAAACTTATAGAGAAGAGTCAAATTACCAAACAAAAAAAGCAGGAAAAGAAAGAAACCGACGACGCAAGCAATGCCCATCTTTCCCCCAAAAATGTTGCGGAAAAGACAGCCCCTTGCACTCCCCGTCGTGGTTTTGAATTTCTCAATTAAAACCAAAACTAATGCGCCGATCTACGTGAAAGGCCGGCTCAGTGTCTCAAATATATGGAAGTTAACATAATCTACATTTGAAAACAAAAAGAAAATAAGAATAAGCAAAAAAAACATCAGCACAAAAAAGGAGACAAAATGAACAAGAACAGGCAGACAAAACGCAAAAAAACACACAGAAGTAGGAACGAAAAAGCGAGAAAAAAATCTCGAGGAAATGCGGCTAATTTTCAATTCGTACTTAGCAAGATCCAAACATGAGCAAAAGCGTATTTACATGCCAATGATGCCTATTTCTGTTGTTTTTTTTTGTTTGTACCAAAATGATTTCCATGGACGTACGATGTGAAAAAACTTCAAGTCCCTTGGGTGCTATCAGTTTTGATTCTACACTCGCGACCAGATTCTAATCAACAGGAGGTTTGGGTAGTATTCCAGAAGTAAATTGTGCAAAAGAAAATTGAAAGCTCAATCATAGAGAAAGGAAAGTAAAAAGGAGAAATATGAAAAAAGAATATGTACTATCCCTGAGAAAAAATAGAACCATGCAACGACATCAAAGATTGCGTGGAGCCGTTAGAACTGAGAGGAAAGATTTGTTTTCCCTCAACAATAATTCGATAATGTTGGCAACATTCGCTATGAAATTCAATCAATTTTCTACACCATTCGCTGGTTTTCTTCAATTTCGCTGGTTAGTTTTTTGGAGAAGGTGTTCTTTTTTTCTGCGATGAATGAAACGGAGAATTCGTGATGGGAAATTTTTCAGAACTTTTTTTGATTTATTGGTCAGAGATTTTTGAATCAATATGTCAAACAGAGTTGACAATCTAGTTTTTCTATGAAAATTAATAAAAACTTGAAGCTATACAAAATATAAGTTTTCGTGTTTTTTTTGCAATTATTTATTTCGGAAAAACTTTTTTAAATAATAGTTTTTTAATCTCGATGCCGGTATATGTTGGCAAGTGAATTTATTTTCGTAAAATTTTAAAATTTTCAGTGTTTAACTGTCTGGCTGATTAATAAAGGTGGCGAAAACTTTCACTTCATCAAAAAAGATAAATTCTGGAATTTGCAAATTTCAAAAATTCCAAAAAACAAAAATTTTCGAAACTCTCAAAAACACATCAGAAAAAAAATGTGTGAATAATCCACGCTTTTTTCTATGGTCCATTCTCTTATAAACACTAAACAAAGACACATATACGTTCTCCTCCTACTTCAGTCTCTAGAGATTTTTCAGGAATCTTCTAATTGTCTGCAGAATGAACGAAAAAATGCTATACAGAAAACAAATATAGATGAATATGAATGCAGGTATAACGAGTTAGTGGAAAACGATTTTTAGAGTTTTTGAGACAAAAAAAAACACAGAAAATGTGAAAAAAGACATTAAGAGAGTAAAATAGAATAAGACACCGGTGGGAAAATTTTCAGCATAAAACTAAAAACGAGAGGTGAGAAGACTGGGATGATATACAAAACAATACTTTTGGGAACGCTCCTAAGACTCGAAGAGTTTCCAAAAAAAGTAAATGTCCCATTTTCATAACGAAGAGAAACTTGTTGTCCCTCATCCCGGTTTTTTTTTGTCTGGAAGTAAAAAAGAGGAGCCGTAAGTATTTCCCATTTTCTTCGTTTTTTAGCACCTACCAGTGGCAGACAAGAAAAGTAAGATTAGAAAAATGAAACGTTGAAAATACTTGAAACAGAAAAATTTTTTTCCGGTGGAGCTGGTAGTTTATGAAAATGCAAAAAGGGGAAAGCGGGAGGATCAAATAAAAAGTTGACGGATTTTATTTCCATGTCGCCTGGAGCCAACAAGAAAAACTTGGTGTGAAAATATGTGTTGTGATGTGCACTATAATTTGGGGAAAGCTTGGAAAAACAAAATAATTAGAGATCTAGGCTGTTGACTATTTGTTCCATTTCTGATATCTTGAGAAAAACGGAACATTTTGAGATCATTCTAAAATTGAGAAGTTTCAAATATCTCTGTTCACTGCTATTGTAAAAACATGTAAAACCGTAAGAGCCAGACAAGACTTTGAAGTCGAAGATCATAAAACCTCTAAACTACCATCCTAGAGTCTATTTCGACCGATTCAATCTCATAAGCATTTTTCTAGTGGGCTATTTTATACACAAACAGAGGATCAAAGTTTAAAGTGTAAAGAGTTTTTATTGAGACTTAGTAGATGATTTATTACCGTGAACCCTGTACTATATCGATCCTTCAATTGTCAAGTTTAAGCCAATTTTTTTGGTTTTCGTGAAAGATATCAGAAAGTGGTTAACTGTCAAAATATTTTTAAATCTTCCTTATATATAAAACGCTACTTTTGAAAAGGGTGAAAAATAAATATAGATTTACGTGACCCGAAAAAAAATTAGGAGGGGTGATGAACCAGTAAAAAAGTAGATAAAATCGCGCCTAAGGCGCACCAGCTTGATGGTTTATAATAAACTTTTTGTCTGTTGACTATTTTTATATATCTTTTCCAAGGACCGAGATACAAGAACCCAAAATTGACGATTATGGTTTTCTTTTATTACAGGAATTCCAGTAATCGTTGTACGAACCGCAAATAATTATGGATTTGGTGAATATGGCTAGTAGTAAATACTATCTTAAATCAATTCCCTATAATTTGTAAAGCTTAACTTTGAAAAATCTCAAGATTTTTGGAAAATCTTATAATTTAAAACATGTTCTCTCTTGGCAAAACACCTCGATTTCATGCCTGACAAAAAAAAACCAACAAAAAAAGACCCGGAAACTTGTTGAGAAAATTATCGTTTCTCCTGTCTCAATATGTTTCCCTCATTCTCCAGATATTATTTTTTTTCCTAGTATACTTTTCTATTCTAGTGAGAAATTTTTGGGAATCTGAATATCTAAATCCAAGTTCCCGAGAATGGGAAAAGGAGAAAGAAGAAAGAAAGCATAGATCGTGTGTAGAATTTTTTCTTTCTTTCACTTTTCCACACCAAAACTACCGAATTGAATTTTCGAGCCAGAGGGATCCGACAAAGGAAAGTGTGGGACAAAGATGACGCAAGTAGTACTCGACTTTTTGATTTTACACATAACAAATACTTCTCTGACATTTTGTGTTGCCGAGAACAAGTTCGAAACCTATGACCAATTATGTGGAAGCAGTTCTTTAGAAAAGCTAGGCATTGAAAATTGTTCCAAACTTCTTTTTTTCCTTCCAAAAATATGTTTAAAATTTTTTAAAGTTTGAACTTTTGAAATCGGATCTGCCAAAGAAACAAACTATGAATAATGTTCTGAAAGAAAAAAAAAACACGAAAAACAAAATTTCTTCAAACTCACATGTCATAGTAATACTATGACTATATAGGCGGGAGGATATTCTCAAACGAAACCAATTAGCAAACAACTCTTCTCCCATTTGGCTATATTTTAGTCATTTTCACTCGTTCTTACGATTCCTTACTCACCCTTCTTCTCTTTTTTCCCGTTTCTTCGAACATGGGAAAGTGAAGTCAATGTTTTCCGAAAAAAGAATAATGAGGATGAGCATACAACCTTTTAAACAAATGACTCTTTTAAGTGAGCTCTCATTTTTCATATAAAATTCAGTGCTCTCGGTTGGTTTTAATTTGTTTTCCACTTTTCGAAAGAACAAAAAACCTTTCGTGACCAATTTATTCGGAAAAAAGTAGAGCAACTAGAAAGAGGTTGATGAACTTCGACACTCATGTACACACACACATAAACACAAAACAATTCTAAAAAAGAACCACGAATGAATTTGAGAAGAAGACACTAAGAAGGAAGAAGAAGCAGAATGTGTTCTGTTGCTTCCTCTAAATTGGCTCATATTCATCCTGGGGATGCTCAAGGGAAAAGTATTCGTGGTAAAGTTGATAGCCAATCGAGGAAATGTTGGTCAGGATGAGTATGCTGGTGATGTAGGTGGTCACGACGTCGGCAATGATGTAGTCCTTCTGGAAAACGAGTTCTCAAGAGAAAAAAGGTTAATAAACTCACATTGACGATGATCAGAAGAGATGACACCAAAACAAAGTACGCTACAAAATGGTATACGAATCCGTGCATCAGTTGGTTACGCTTGGATCCGGTGTACAAGGTGAAGTTGTAGCCGCGTTCACGTTGCCAAGCTGGAAATATTTTTTGGAATAATTCTGAATTACTAGTCATCACAGTCACATTTCTAGATACTAAAAAATATCTTAACTTTGAAACCTCAAGCTTGAATAAGCCATAGATACTCTACTACAACGTTACTTTATCCTTTCACTTTATGTCAAATGTTAACAGACCAAATGTTCGGCAAGTTATTACCAACATTTTTGAGTTTGCAGAATTTGACATATTTCACAAAAAATGAGATAATTGAGTTTCAAGTTTGCTACCAAAAACATCGTCAGGAACCATAGTTACTATTCAGGACATTAATTATACTTGAGGGCCAAAATTCTTAACAAAATTCATACTGGTTCTTTTTTCGAGACTTTCTAGGCGAAAAAAAATTTTTTTTTTCGAAATTTCAGAAAAATGGCATTCGACTCGGGAGAGAACACTTTTGACAACATTTGATAGCAAGACCTAATTTCGTATAATTCAACTTTCTCTCATTAATTAAAGGTGTAGCTGAATTAGTGCATAATTTACTCATTTTGGATTGGCACACGGGAAAAACTAGAATTAAAAAAAATAGAATATCATTTGTTCACAAAACATCAAATATAATCTATGCATTCATAAGAACTATTAACTTTTCTATATTTGAAGCAATAATATTTTCGAGAAGCCATGGGCCTAAACATGTACATGACATTTTCATATAATTTTTTTCATATCCTGTATGACATTTTCCCTTTTTCGGATAAGTGAAAAAGCCATTTTTCGCAAAACATACTTCGAAAATGACACAAAGTCTGAAGTGTGTTCGCAGTCATTGCAAGCGCTGTTCCAATTAATAAATACATGCGATTGATCTGAAAATATAATTTTTACTTGATTCAGATTTCATTTACCCAGACTCACATCAAAATCCATAGTTGCTGCTCTCCCAGACGCAGTCAGTAGAAAAGCAATAAAGAGCAAAAATAACACAACATTTGTGATTCCAACAGTAATGATTTCGGTTAGCCGTTTTCCTGGAGTAGCCGCTCGATCATATTGGAAAAGTTCCAGATGATCAGCGAATATTCTTGTGGCATCTGCCACCAACGTCAAGCTGTTCCCAAGAACACCAAGAGTGAGCTGTAAGAATGTAATTCTTGGAACCAAAGAAAATTAAGTACACCTGAGCAATGACCACCGCCAGTGTGTAATACGTGTTCAATTTCTCTAGCATACTCTCTCTAAAAAGTGCAAAATGACATTGATTAGAACAAACAAAGTGGTGTCACAGACCGCTTCTGATAAGAATGGGTTGAATCGATGCGAATGCGAGGAATATCTGGTTGCGGGTCGAACATGTTTTCTTCCATTGCAACTCTGTAAGAAAGAAAATCTGATGAACGTTCACTTTAGATAAAAACTTTTTTTAATAATTGAAGACAATTAAAAAAAAATACCTCTCTAGAACAATGCACCGCATATATATAAGTTGAAATGTCAATCAAAATATTGGAGCGAAATTTAAAATTTTTTAATCAAAAGAACATACCTTGTAACAACAATTGCGGCATAACCTTCCTCACTCATATTTTCTGATTTCTAGATCAATATAAAAACAGACAACAATGTTCGAGAATGATGCGCGCTCAATCTTATCAAGTCAAAACGCGGGCCGAGTAGCCAGTCAGCGTTTTTTGACATATAGCTTATGTTAGTTCTTCTCTTTCTTAACATCCCTAATACTAATCTAATCTTTTTTCTGTTCCAAAGGGGGGGGGGGGGATTTTATATAATCCCAAAATCTTCTATTATTGTTTTTCATTAAGAGCAAAAACAAACTTTTCAAATGGAGGAAATTGAAGAAAAGACGGTGAAAACGGCCTAATCAGTCGATTTGCTCTCTTTTCCCATTTGATAGTGCTGTTGACTAAAGGCTACAATGTTTTTGTTTTGTTTATTAGAGTGATGACAGTGTGACTTGTGCGCTGTATGGTACAAAACTAATATAGGTAAATCGTTTTTATCCAGTAACCTTAAATATACAGTAACGGGGTAAATAAGGTATACAACATCATATTTTTTAGTTGATTTTGGAGCAAATCGAGCATTTTCAACTTGCCTTCCAAGTTTCCGATCACTTGAAAATTTTGGAGGGTGCAAAACAGACTTAGATTGAAATTTTTTTGAAATTTTTGACAGTTCCTAATTTTTCAGTTATTTTCTGATTTCTGAAAGACATCCCTTTTGGTTCCTTTATTGTACTGGAAACGTGCAAAAACAGGTGTCATTCAGAAGTTGGCAAATAGCAAAAAAAAAAATAGAAATTTTCAAAAAAAAAATCTGAGAATGCAATGTTTTCTATTTTACATCCTTAAAAGTTTTCAAAGTAATTTGAAATGTGCCCACCATGCCACGGACTTCTTAAAACAGTGAAAATCAACGGATAAATACGATTTTGTATATCTTGTCCACCGGTATTATATGTGGAAAGACTCGGGGGCCCAAAAATTTTCACATCCTTAACAAATTTATTGAAAATTCTGAAAATTCTGCAATTCAAGTATTATGTGATGAAAATATCTTCAACGATACTCAGTAAAAATTGTATTTACATTTTTATTTGATTCTTTGAGCGGAAACGAGCTAGGCTAAGCCTGGTCGGGCCGAAAAAAATTCTGAAACCAAACCAGGTCCTTCGCAAGTATAAAAGTACCAAATGTTTCAAAAAATGACTGCCATGAAAATTTTTGTTTTTTTTTTTAATTTACAAAAAAATTCATTTTCAAACCTTGAATTTTCAAGTTTCGAGATGCAAATAAATTATTAGTTTCTGTTTTCGAAGCATCACACAAACCAAATTCCCATTTTCCTGTTACCCATCATTAAAGCAAACTGTGTCTGGTAAAAATGAATACAGCCGCCAAGTGGACCGTTAGACACTTTACCAGGAGAGTGTCTTTTATGATGATGTTTTACTTATTCTCCTACCGCTCCGGGTACATAGGATCTAGTTCATGAACACATGTCCTTGGAAGAAAAAGAATACCCACAAACTCTATTGTGCGCCTTCCTTCATTACACACCGCCGTTACCGACGTTCAAAAGACAAAAACTGTCCCCATCGGAACCACATTTCGATACTCCGACAATATGATGAGACCCGGAAATGATATAATGAAGTGGGCAGGCTGAGAAGGTCAACATTCTTCTTGGTTTTTGGAATTGTAATTGCCCTAAATTGGGTCCACGAGTTATGAGCGAAGTAGATGGGTGTGTAATACAGATCATATATTGTTATCAGCTGAATTGCAAATAGAACACACACACACACACATACAACTGTATTGTTCTGCCTGGAAGATGGTGTGAGAGTAAACATAGATGGACGGCACCTAAAGATGCGAACCGTTGATAAATGTCTTTGTCAAACAAGCATCATTTGGGTGTAATACACATACAGTATCGGTCAATAAAATATAAATAGCCGTTTTCCTATTTCAGGATTCAGGAACTAGGCTGTCACATTTTCGATCATTTTCAACAATTTAGAGGGTGTGAAGTATACCTAGAAAACTTTGCACTCGCTTAATTTTCTGAATTTTTATTGTTCTAATATTTTTCGAGTTCAGGAAGACATCCTTTCCTAACCTGTTGTTGTACTAAAAATGTGAAATTAGCTTGATTGAAAACTAGGAATTTCCCAAAAATTCCATACTCTTAAAATGATCAAAATGACTGAAAATACGTTTTTGTACATATTATTGCCCGGTACTAAATTTATACACTAATAGTGTGATAAATGATGATCAAAATGTTCAGTTTTTGCACCACAGGCAGTTTTTCTGTTCCTTTTGGCTTTCTGAAAAATCTAGAAAACTGTTAGATTATCCGTTTTGGGTTTTTTAAAAATCAGAAGCTTTTAAATTGACTTGGGGCATAACCAAAGCTTAAGTTCTCCCAATTAAAACAGGGTGAAACACTTTCAACATCCGTTTTGCTTTTTTTCTTCTAACAATTCAATCAGTGAGACATAAAATCCCAAAAACGCTTCTTCCAAATCCATAAGCAGCAGTCCACCTCGAATTGTCGGGCAATCAAAACTGCCTTATAATTAAAACCTAGGTGGCGGGTGGTTGGTCGTAGATGTGAACGATTTGAGAGAAGAAATAATATCTGTACAATTATCTTACTCTTATTTTTCGTGCGACACACCGGCGGCCCCCATGCATGTTGAGCAGGTGTTCAAATTATGATTTGAATGATGGGCCGACCGTTTTGTTGACCAAGGGCAGCTCATCCTTTACTCTTCTCCTAAGCATAAGGCACAAATCCACAGCCAAAATGGATAAAATGAAAAGGCGAGAAAATGGGTGGTAAATTTCTCTTGGTGGCTTTTGTTCCAAAACCTTTTTTGCGATTTTCTTGGGAGGAACAACAGACATTTTTGAGAATATCTAGAAAATCATCGAACGACGGTGGACACACCTTGAGAGGAGGAAACTTTTTGCCTCTCCCGTTTCAAGATGACAATCTTCCACCTCTCATCTCGCGCCGAACACATTCCTTCCACCCATTCTGACACTTCCAAAACCTCTTCTCTTGTTTCTCTCTCCTCCTAAAATATCGATAAGCATTTTTTCCTTCTATTTACACTGATGGTCCATCTCTCTTCAGTCTTTACCTGGCATACACACTCATGAAGGTACGCTTTTTCTCCACCACCTCTTTTTGTCTAACGATACAAACCAGCCCCCCCCCCCTCACGACGTGTCATAACACTGGCTCCGCCCCTCTCTTCTTCTTCCCTTTTGCATTTCGGGAGGCGGCCGATGCGAGGCCAGGCACCACCACTTTCCATTCATAGTGTGGTTGTGTGCGCCCGTTGCCTCTTGCCATCCTATTCTGGTTGTCATGCACAAAATGAGCTTCTACTTATTCTTGTACTGATTCTATTCATATCTATTTATTGGAACCTATTTGAACCGAAACCATTTGCCATCCGCAGTTTTTTGTAGTGTGCTCCGCGCCATCTTAGTGCCCGAAGCACCACGAGAAGCTGCAGATGGAAGTTTTGGTTGATGTGCACATGACTTAGAAACCATGGAAACCGGAGCCCAAATGTTCAAAACAAGGATCATTGAAAGTTCAAAACTTCATCGTTCTTTTATGGTTGACTATTTCCAGAAATTTCCAGTTTCGAAAAATATCTGACGCTCGACGCCCAGACAACGTACACCACACACAAACAAAGAAGCATCCTAAAGAAAATCCCCTGACGAGAACCTTCATTTTCGCAGCTCACGCACATACACGTACCCGCTCATTAGCATTTCACGAAAAGACGGCAAGGAGAAGAGAAAAATGAAGCCAATATGTGAAGCCGTGATGTCATATACGAAGCTCAAATTTTCACTCGAAGCCACACGGGAAAGGAGGAGAAGAAAAAGCACATAAGTATACACATCCGTAACTTTTTGTCTTGCCGTCGAAAAGGAATTCTTTGGGTTGTGGTGAAGCTTGTGTGATTATAAATGTGTTAAGACAGAAGTGATCCTCTTTTCGAGGAAGATTTTAAAACGAAGATGTACTGGCATATTAGTATCGTTCCGAGAAAAAAAATGGTAGCTGAAAAAATAGAATTTTGAATTAAGTTTTTTACAATTAGGAGCGGAAAACAAAACGAGAAAAGAAATGGGAATATTTGAAACTGGCTCCGGATTCTTAGTTTTTTTTTTTTCGTTATCCGGATCTGTTTTCCACAGTACAAAATCATCTGAATTTCTAAACATATGAGATAGAAAATTGCATGAATATAGAAAAAAGACAAGAGGGTGCTCTGGAAAAAGCCGGGTCTATCGCTGAAGAGAGGTTCCCGTTTGGGATAATCGGTCCATCCCATACTCCCAATTTGAGATAATCGGTCTCATAGGTTCAAAACACTTGAAATTCAGGAATCAGAGTTTTACACAGGGGTTTTCCGAAAGGAATTCAAAGCTCCGAAATTTTCGGGATGCCGAACGGAGTATTTCCGAATTTTTTTTTGAATTTGAGCTTTCGAAACTGCGGTATGAAAGTCCGAAGTTACTCAATTCTCAAAACCAGAATAATCCAAATTTCCAGTATTCAATAATTGAAAATTCCGATAGATTGCCGGAATTTCGGACCGAACATGGAACCTCTTTTCCAACACACCCCCCAAAAACACTGACATCCGACCGCTAAACCAGCCTTGGGAATTCTGAAAATGGGAGTCAGAAAAAAATTTATATTGTCAATAATTCGAAGAGTGTCGATTTTTTTAAATTTTTGAAATTATCAAATTTTGATTTTAAAAATTTCCGAAGAGTTTAGTAGGACATTTGTTACAACATGATATTTTTTCAATATTTTACTTTTCCTGGCTCAAAACTTTGAAAAACCAGAACTAGAAAAATACCTCAATTTTCAATATCTGTATTGCAAAGCTGAATTTAAAAAAAACCAGAATATAAATCTTTAAAACCATTTTTTGATTAAAACACTTACCGGATGATGAAACAAAAATGACAACATCTCTTAAAGAAGACAAAAAAATCGGGCGATACAAGAAGACAAAAAGTGCAGGATGGGGGGGAACGGAGCATGAAAAAAGGATAACATATTTAAATCTCTAAAAAACATGAATAAGAGAGAGAGCGAGAAAGAAAAAAAGAGAAAGAGACATTTTTCAGCAAGTAAAAGCTCGTCATGGGAAGAGGAAAAAAGTTGAATTGGTAAGGTGCGCGTAGAAATCTGACATAAAGAAGAATAAATTGGAAAAATAAACACATCATATCGTTGTTATTCCAGACATACCTCCGTATTTTTTGAAAGAACATAATTAGTTAAAGTTCGTTACACATAAATCATCGAACCATAGAGAACACTTTTTTTTGATTTTGATTTTCAATTTACAACAAAAAATTTTCAAAAAGCTAATGATAATGATAATGTTACAATATAAAGAACGAGGAACTTTTTTCTTTTGATTGAGATAATGCGCAGGAAGAGGCAGGACAGGAAAGAAACAGTTGGTGTGTGTGTGTGCTTTTTGATTGAGGGCTGAGCAGGTAGGGATGGATGAGGAAGAGAAAACAAAAAAATAGAAACATTGAAGGCAAAAAAGTGAGATCAGAGAATTAAATTGGGACTATGTAAAGAAAAAAAGCACCGTGTTGAATTGTTATTTTGTTTTTGATCTTTCGACATTTCACAGAGAGTCAGAACCAAAAAAAATATTGATTGAGCGGAAATCTCTTCAATATCACAAAAAGGAGAAAATTTACAAAAAGGGGGCAAGAAGTCAGATCATCGAAGTCCGTCCACTGGCCGATGCCGCTCGGCTGGATCTCACTGCCGCTGGTTTTGCTGATGTTGATGGTTGTTGCTGGTCAACACCAAGACGGGAAAGGTCGTGGAGGGATTTTGTGACTTCGATATTCTGAAAATATATAGGTTAAAAAATATCTGAAAGTAGAAAATGATGGGCGAACTTAAAAATAGGACATTTCAACTTGAAAAATGTTTGATAGTGTCTTGTGTTTCAATTTTTCTGTTTTTGAGTTTAGTTTTTCAAAAATGTAACAGATTAAATTTGTAGGGTTTTCCGCTCACTGTTCGGATTGTAAAACACAGTACCCGTCAATAAGATACGGAAAAAAAACACTTCTTTTTCCGGTGATTGTTGTCCATTTAAAGCATTTTCAGTAGTCTGAAGCTTGTCTATCTAGTTTCCGATAGTTTTGAAAAATTTTGGAGGATGTAAAACAAACCTAGATTGAAAACTGCATTCACAAAGTCTTCTGAAAATTCCTGTTTTTCAACTATTCATCAAATTCTGAAAGACACTTTTTTGGTCCGTTTTTGTACTGGAAACGTGAAATAGATTGGTCTTTTTCAGAAATCCGAAAATAGCTAAAAACTAGAAATTTTCAAAATTCTAGTTTTTATTCTAGGTTTGAACCCTCTAAAAACTTTAAAATGATCGAAAACTTGACCGCCAGACTCCTAAAAGTAGTCAAAATGGCCAAAAATAAATTGAAAAATACGTTTTTTACATCTTATTGAGCGGTACTGTGAATGGTCTCAAGGTTCAAGGATCGCACGATCTTCTATTAGAATGTTGACGGTATATGTTGATAGATTTGAATTTTTTATAATAATAAGATTTCCGGAGTTTCAGAATTTTTCGAAGCCATTTCTCAACTTATTTTCTATGGGCTTGTTTTCCTATTCCCATTCCTTTTTGTTGCTTTTAACTTTTCCCAAAATGATGCAATTTTGAAAATGCTCCCCAGATACGCTATAGCCATAAAAAATAATCTTTTAATTTTTAAAATGCCACTAAAAAATTGAAAAACTGGATATTTGTAGCTAGAAAGATTGAAAAATAGGGCGTCATGCACGGCTACTACAAAATCAAAGACAGAATCGTGTATGGAAAATAAAAAATAAATATGAAAGTGCTCTTGAATGATCAAAAGTTCCAAAAAAAAGGAAAGAGGAAAAGTTCATCATATCCAACAAGAGTGTACTTCTAAGTGTGTCAACAGTGTTTTGTGTGGTTGGTGGTGATGGGGGGAGATGGTGCGCCAAATTCGGAACGAAAAACTTACATTGAGTTGAAGTGTGGCATAATGGTGCGAAGAGGATTTATTGGGGGTATTGTAGAGAGGAGATCACAAACCAAGTTGCATTTTTTTTTGATCTGGTAATGGAGTTTGATTCTTGTTTTATAGCTTTTTTGATGAGGCAAAGAGAAGAAGACCCGGCTTTTGGAGTTGGTGATGGCAAAAATGTGAAGGTATTTGATTCGTTGACATTGGCAATTGGGGTAGTGGTTGAGTGTAGAGTGGTGGTTGATGGGAATGGGGAGGTTCACAATCACAAGTCATTCAAGTTTTATCAGCGTTCGGATGACCCGAGTCCTGTAACCGAATCCACAATTAGGTACATTCCTCGCTCTCACAATCTTTCACGATTTTCCAGTCTCTCACATTCTCCGATTTTTTTTCTAATTTTTTCTCTGCTACTACACAAGAAATATAAAAAATTTAAAAAATCTTAATTCCATGTGAGGCAACAGGCAGAAGAAAAAACCGAGAAATGCGAGAGAGTACAACCTAACCACAAACACTCAAGGCGAATAAAAAAACACAAATATACAGAAATCTACTGGAAAGAGTGCACTAATTGTGGAAGCGAAAGTTTTTGCTGAAAAATATAAGCACAAGATGAATCATGAAACTGGGGAATTGTGTAGTTTGTGTAGGTGTGGGTAGGAATTTATAGTGTTCTGATTGAAAAAACAAAACTAAAAAAAAAGAAGTGAGGATTTGATGTGTCACTGACCTTTTTTCGAAATAATCGGGAGAAGAAACCAGGTTTACTGGTCCCATTCCTCCTTTCTTCCATGTTAATTCCGTCGGGACGGAGGTTCCAGACGAGACTACCGTCTTCTTCATAGAATGTGTTCAGCTCAGCAAAGCACTCAGTTTCGATCATCTGGAAATAGATGGAAATTGAAAGAAGAATCAGAAATGAGCAGTTTTGAAGCTTTTCATTTCGCTAGGCTTTAGTTGAAATGTTTTTTTCAAGACTAAACTTTATCAGCCAGTAATTTTTCCCCATTTCTAAACGTAATTATTGTCGGAATTATAAAACTGTCGGCTGCGTGTTTGCAGACTCAGTGCAAAACACCCAAATGTTTGTACTTTGAGCAAAATATCAATGAAAACTTAGCACTGTGTTATCGGGATAAATGCTTGTTCGACGAACCCGCGATTTTTATATTTTTCTGGATTTTTTGAATTGCAAAAAATATGTAATAACGTTTGAAATTCTACAAAACTAGGCACGAATCTTCCGAATTTTGCCAGAATTCATGCACCGTAAAACTTGTAATAGAAGGGCTCTCACACTGTCTAGCTTGAGCTGATTTTTCAGGCTCCAATCCAAGATATCAGAAATGTCTTGACTGTCAAAACAATTCTCATATTATGTTTAACAAAATATCAGTTGGCAATTCTCTATATCTTTCACAGAAATTTAGAATAATTGGCTCAAAGTTAAGGACCCTTATGTTAGAGGTTATACGGTACTTGTCTCAACTTGTTTATAAATAGTGAATGTGAGATTCATTTAGAGGAATTCAGAAAGAATTTCCGATTCACATCTAGTCTCATTGAAGTCTGTGTGACTATGTTTATAATTGAACTTTGTTTCAATTCTTTCTTTTATTTTCGAAAATTAAATTTTTTTCAAAAATTGTGTCCAAAGAAGGGAAATTAGCTCGATGATGTTGCCTAGAAATAGAAAATGTAACGTTACAAGTTTTCTAGACTGGCACGAAATTCGTTAAGCCAAAAAACAATTACTCACCTCGCTTTGCCATGGTATACTAACACATCCAGTGTTGAATTTCCCGTAGAATTGAGTGTCGGTGGCATCTAGCCGGACACCTTTTACAGTGCTAAACTGTTCGATATCCAAAACGTCTTTGGCGTATACAGCTCGAGGATCCGGGCAAAATGGTGGTGTTACCTATAAATTAGCAAGTTGATCAGCTTCCCCTGAAACTCCCTAACCTTTCCCGCTTCCATCTTCTTCCATGGGACTGGTTCTCGACCCGTCGCTGTGTCAGCAGTGTTGAAAAATGGATGAGCTCGAATCTCTTCGGCGCCGTCTTCCGGTTTTCCAACTCGCCGGCATCCAAGCCGGAACCCCGGTTCTTTGTGTAGCAAACCTCTGAAAATGTTTTGTAAGTACATACAATCACGCTGTTGATCACTGACCGACAAAGAGTTCGAGCCGCCTCGCTGAACTTCTCCGAATACTTTTCTTGATCCTCCCTAACTCGTCGTTCCACTTCCTCCCGTTTCACTTTTTCTTTCCGCTGCCGAAATGGAGCTTTTCCTTCGATCATCTCATAGATCAGACATCCAACACCCCACCAGTCGACACCATATGTATATCGTTCATTTTTCACTATTTCTGGAGCTGAAAAATAAAGAAACCGATGGCATTTGAAAATCAAACGAATCACAACTCACCCATATAGCCTACAGTTCCTACTCTACCCTTGATTGGTTCGTTGTCTTTTAATTCTACAGCTAGACCCAAGTCTGATATCCTCACGTGGCCGAAATCGTCAAGAAGTATATTTTCTGGTTTCAAGTCTCTGTACAAAATATGCTCCAAGTGTAGGTGTTGCAGGCCGAGCGTGATTTCAGCAGCATAGAACTGCACCCGTTTCTCATCGAATCCGCCAGGCATCAGGTTGTATAAATGAAATTTCAGATCACCACCATTCATCAGTGTTAACACTAAGCATAGTGCGTCCTTGGTCTCATAAGCATACGCCAAGCTAACCTGAAACATTTTTAATGATTTTTGCGTACCGTCAAACCTGTAATAAAAGGACCCCCACACTATTGTTTCAGCTCAATCATCTCAAGTCCTATAAAAGATATCAGATATATGCCAACTGCAAAAATGTTTTTGATATAATGATACATAGATTATCAGTTGACAAATTTCTATATCTTTCGCGGGAACCAAAATAAATTAGCTCAAATTTTAAAGATACCCTAACTTAGATAGGGACCTTTGATTTTAAGTTTTTATGGTATGGCCCAGAAGTGAGGTCCCATATGGGTTTCTCCGGTTTATGGCAACCGTAGTCCCAATAATTTTGCCACAGTTCCATCTATAAGGTTGATGGGATCATGGTCAGAGGCAGGGGAACGAATCATGGGTCCGCCGGTTCCACGTTTCGACCTCTCTTCTACAAAAGGCTTTTTTGGGTTTTTTCCTAATCCTTTTTTCATCTCCTCAAAAAAAAAAGAAAACAAAACGTACAACGAATGGAGAGTTAACCTTCTGCAGAATTTGTTTTTCATTCAAGCTTAATGTTTCAGCGTGTCGCTTCTTCACTCGCTTCTTCTCCAACTTTTTCAGCGCATACATCTTCCCCGAAGCTCGAACCTGGAAAAAAAGGAAACCAATCATTTCGGAGTGATTGACAACGACCCCGTTTCTATTTCCCAATGCACTCCCCCCAACCCCTTTTGTCTTGTTCTTCATTTGATTAATGACTCAATATGCGGTTCATTCTCTCTCAAAAATGGGCAGATGGTTGGGAAAAAGATTGGTGTCGGGTGAGAATAAAAAATTCAATTTGTCCGCGAACCCCCGTCATTTTTCATTCGCTTTCTTTATTTTAGTTAGCTCCCGCCATCAATCCATCTTCCATTCACCCATTCCGTCAAAAAGAACAAGAAAAAATAATTAATTTATCAAGTTTTTTTCTTTCTCATCTTATTGGTTCAATTGTCGACTACAAGAGCTTCCACCAGTTTTTATGACACGCTAAAGCTTGAAATGAGCCGTAAAAACGCGAGCAGCCTATATGAGTTTCGGTAAAGTGTACGGGGACATAAAAAAGTTGGGTATTGGATAGACAAGAGAGATAAAATGAGTTATTCAAAGGTTCAGACAGAATATCAAATTGGAAGACATGAAAAAGTTCAGTTGAGATCAGTTAGCACTAAAAAACGAGCCTAAAACAAACCGACAAGCCGGCCCATAACTTTTTCAGACTCAAACTTTTTGACTTACTAGAACACAGTAACGGTCAATAAAAGACACAAAAACGTGTTTTCAGTTGATTTTAAGGATTTTCAGTAGTCTAGAGCTCGGCTGTCAAGTGTACGATTTTTGAAAATTTGGAGGTTTCAAAACAGAACCAGATGAAACCCCTTCCATTCATAGAATTTTTGTGAAAGATCCTAGTTTATCAGCTACTCGTCGATTTTTGGAGAACATTCCTGATTTCCGTACTGATAATGTGTCTTTCAGAAATCGGCTAATAACTGAAAAACTAGGAATTTTTAAAAAATTCCGTAGATTCAAAATTTTCAACAAGATTGGACGCTTGACAGCCGAGCTTCAGACTTTTATTGACCGGTACTGTAGATATGATAGAATTCAGCTGGTACTAAGAAAATATTACATGTATAGCTCTTACAGATAATTTAGAGATAAAGTTTTTTGAAAGCATTTTAATCTGCCTGGTATCCTTTATGTTTTGTTTAACTTCTCTAACAATTTTCTAGCTTTCTAAAAACCCCAAAACCCGAAAACAATGTACCTGACACGCGCACACTTCTCCGAATCCACCTTTGCCTAATACTCGATACAATCGAAACGTATGCTTATCCACGGGCCTTTTTTCCAGCCATTTCCATTGTAGAAACCGATGAAAATACATGGTCTGGATGAATTCTGCGAATGGCTTCTGCTTCAGATACTCCCGGGTAAGCCTGAAAAAAGAAGTGAAACTTAATTTGTCAAATTTAACAAAAGTTTGTTTATTGTAAGCCCCCTCCCGTTTAGTGCATTCTCATCTACTCGTTTTACTTGAAGTCTCCCAGCCCACATACGCGAAATTTATCTTTTTTTTTCTTCCTTTCCTTTTTTTCCCGGGTTTTTTTTATCCCCATGAGTCGAGAGGATAGGGGCTCAAAATAGGCAGAAGGGAGGAGAAGGGACAATGTGATGTTCAACACAGGTCCTTTGTTCCACTGTAATTTTTCATGGATGTAGCCACCACCACGGAGAGCCACCGAGCCACTGGTGCTGCTAGAATTTTTTCGGGACCCCCGGCGACTTCGCGCACGCACGGAAAAAAAATAGCGGCAGGGGAAGCAGCAGCAGGAAAATATTTCAAAATTACATATTGAGGAGTAATATTAACGGCACACGGGAATAGAAAGAGAGACAGAGAGAAGCAGAAAAAAGAGTCTTTCCAGAGATGTGTCAACAACTCAAAAGGGAAGACTTTGAAAAATTTAAGGAGATGGTTATAAGTTAAATTTGAACTTGTAAACCTTGTAGTTAACTCTAAAAATTTGAAATCCAAATTATTTTGAAAAACGCAAAATATGAAAGTTACATAAATTTTCTAAATTCGATACAATCAAATGACTAGAAGAGAATTTGAGATTACAAATTGTGAAATTCCCAGTTTTAACTTTCTAGAACATCTGAAATGTTAAATTTCGGAAATTACATAATTCCTGGACCCAGAAAATTCGAAATTTCGGAATATCTTAAAGGAGGACTCTGACCAAAAAATTTTATTGCATTAAAATGTGTTAAAAGTTATCTCTTTTCCTAGTATTATTGCGAAAAATTCAAAAGAAATCCGAAATTCCCTGAAAAACGCCGTTGAAAATGAAAAAAATTCAAAAAAGGTGCCGCCGAGGGACGAGGATTTGAATTCCC